TCCCAATTGCAACACACCGATTGTATGGTTTCTTAACACAGCTGTGTTTACACAACTGAATCTACGTTCTAGTTCTATGATTTTATTCTATTCTATAATCAATCTTTATAATTGGTCTCTAGCATTCCCTCCTTTTGTTTTTATTGCATCCCTGCAATTACTATACTTCCAAACTTCTTTTTGACACTTCTTAGTGATTGACATTAAACAAGTTAGTATACATTGAAAAATCACAAACAGACAAATAACGATTATTACAACAAAGAATACCTGGACTTCAGGAGATATAACTTGATACCAATAAGCTTGATTTCTCATCTGGGAAAAAGAATCCTGGAGGTACAAAAGACATTGTGATGAAGATGACTTCTGCAAACCACTTCAGCATGTTCACAATCCTTCTCGCCAACCTTCCACGACTACCCCACATGCGGCATGTGACAATCCAACAACACACACCATCTCTGCTGCCCTGAAAGACTGTTATGACAGATGGACCCCAAAGTCACGGACTAAAGGAACTCAGTGAACCTTATAGAGGGCTAGCCCATAGGGTAAGGAATGATGTCTCTGTGCGCAAATCAAAAGTGGTTGTCATTTTTTGGAAAGTGTTATACCTGAGCATGATGTAGATGGTATAGAGTAAGGGGTGGATACTGTCCTGGTTTCAGCTGGGATAGAGGTAATTATAATGTCAGTAGCTGCTGTGTTTTGGATTTAGTATGAGAAGCATGTTGGTAACAGTGATGATTATAGCTGTTTCTAGGAAATTAAGGTCTTTTTTCTGGTTTCTCATGTTCAGCTCTTGAGCAAATTTGCAGGAGCTAGGAGGGATCATAGCCAGACAGCTAACCCAAGCTGGCCAGTGGAAATATTCCATACTGTAGACGCCATGCTCAGTATATAGATGGGGGGTGTCTGGGGACATATCCATGAATTCCAGGAGTTCTGTGGATTCTGCGATGGCTTCCTGGGGACAAACTGTGCAATTGGTCATTGGGCAGTGAGAAAAATTGTATTGTGTATCACTTGTTTTGCATAATCATCATTATTAGTATTATATTATACTTTCCCTTCATTTCTTAGTAAACTGGCTTTATCTCAACCCATGAGTATTAGTTTTGCCCATTCTCCTCCCCATCCCACTGCAGGCAGGAAGAGAGAGCAAGCGGCTGTCTGGTCCTAGTTGCCAGCTGCCAGGTTAAATCACGACACCATGGCAATTCCTCCCTGGGTCAACAGTTCCACTGAACAGGTACCTCCTTCATTCACCAGTAGTGTCCTGCAATTCCTCATGCTGCTGTCTTGTCAGAGGCACCACAAGTCTGGTACGCACACATGAAAAGCTGTCAAAACAGAGCTTCAATACAGGGGGAACTTTGAGAAACTTTTAGATTTGGCAGTAGAACCCTCATGAGGTTTTGCAAGAAGTTGTAAGTCATTTTGAGGGGGGAGAATAACTCCAAAAAAATGAGGGCAGGTGGGGACCTGAACAGCTAAGGAGTGACCCTGAGGAGAAGGGCCTGGGCGTTCCTAGGGATACCAGATGAGCGAGTGGTGCATGCTTGAAGCGAGTAAGGCTAAGAGCATACAGGGCTGCATTAGGAGGAGCCTGGCCACCCAAACGAGAGAGTTATCACCCCCCTTGCCTCAGCGGTGCAGTAGTCACATCTGGACTAGTGTGACTGCACATGGGGCTACCCATTCTGGAGGAACACGGAAGAACTATAAAAGTGCTAGAGGAGATCTGCCAGGATGGGTTTTGGGCTTCTGTGGAGAGACGGAGGGACTCGAGCCTGGTGAATCGGAGGCTGAGGGAGATAAAGTAGTAGACTGCAACTCCTTAAGGGGTGGTTTCAGAGATGCAGAAGCTTTCCTTTGTAGTGGGAAGAGAAGAAAGTTTCCACAATGTGCAGACTGAAGTGTTCAGACTGAAGATGAAAAGGAAGTCTCCCTCAAAGTGTATCCTTGTTGTGTATGAGGTCACCCATGTGGGGGGATGGCAAGGCTCGACCGAATTGCTTGTTGTAGAAAATCCATTTTAAGCTTAGCACACGGTGTCCTTGACAGAACAAGGAATTTAACAAATCAACTCTGCGGTTAGCAAGAATGTGAAAAACAGGATGCAGCTGGAGAAGAATGAGGGAGTATGGGCGGAGTTGACATTTAGCTGGCTAGCCAATAATGAGCTCTAACTTTGCAATATGTAGTAGCTAATTAATCACTCTATAAATTGTGTAACCAAACTGTAATAAACGAAGCTTGCTTATCACTCACATTGAGTTGGCTGCATTCTTCCGCCGTCTCTCCAGGACAGCAACCCTCGGGGTAGAACTTCGCCCCGACACTCATCTAGAGTACTCTGTCCAGTTCTGGGCTCCCCAGTTCAAGAAAGATGAGGAGCTACTGGAGAGAGTCCAGAGGAGGGCTATGAGGGTGGTGAGGTGACTGGAGCACCTCTCCTACGAGGAAAGGCTGAAGGAGCTGGGCTTGTTTAGCCTCAAGAAAGGAAGGCTGAGAGGGGACCTTACAAATGCTTATGAATGTCATAACGGTGGGTGTTATGGGACACCCCAGCAGAGGACCCATGTCTGCCTTAGGCACTCATTGTGTCCAGCACCTGGACCCACATCCCCATGGTGTCTCCATCGAATGCACCCAGACATTCATGTCCAGGATGTTTGCAGCCCTTCTCAAGTTACTGGAACACGTATCCCACTCACCAATGAGTGCAGCTTGAAGCTCACTGCCATTCACACATGTCCACTAAGAGCAGAGAGTGCACCCGTACAGTAGGTAGTTGGAAAGATGCTCCAATGAGAACACAGAAGACAGGGTAGTGACCAAGTGCAGGGCTCCATCACAGAACAGTGCTGACTAGCAACCTGTTCACACTCAGACAGCCCCTTTTTCCCTTTCCTCTAGTCTGTCATTCTGCTGCCCCACAAGAACTTTGTCGCTGATCTTGTTTTGCTTTACACTCAGAAGGAGGTGTCTGTGACTGCAAACATCAAGAACTTTCCTGAGTGTCTTAATTTCAGTATGACAACACATACACAGATCATGGTGCTGCAGGCATCACGGTCAGAGCAAGTTTAAAGGGAAATTGGAGGAAAGCATCGCAGCGGATCAGTGAGGCTGCAGAAGAGATGTTTCCCAGTTGATGAGGGGAAGTTCCTGAGAAGACATGTACAGACATAAGTTACTGAGGTGTCATGGAGCTGGAGATGTGCTGTGGATGGAAGAATTCCATACTCACAGGCTAAATCTGTATTGGTTTTGGCTGGGATAGAATTAAATTTCTCCATAATAGATTTATGGGGCTGTGTTTTGGATTTGGGCTGAAAACAGTGTTGGTAGGCAGAGGGATGTTTTCGCTGCTGCTGAGCAGTGCTTACACAGAGCCAAGGCCTTTACAAGTCAAGGCTCCTCACACCACCCTGCCAGAGAGTGGGCTGGGCTGCCCAAGAAGTTGTGAGAAGACACAGGAGGGACAGCTGACCTCAACTGACCAAAGGGATATCCCATACCCTATGATGTCATGCTCAGCAATGTAAGTGGGGGGAACTTTGGTGGGGGAACCGCTTCTCGGGGAGTGGCTGGGCATTGGTCGGTTGGTGATGAGCAATTGTTTTCATTTGCATAATTTGTCTCTCTTGGGTTTTATTTTCCTCTCTATTTGTTATTTTTAATTCTTTTTTACTTACATTTTTAATATAATTTCTTTCTAGTTATTAAACTGTTTTTATCTCAACCCATGAGTTTCTTTCTCACATTTACCCTTCCAGTTCTCCTGCAACCCACATGGGGGGCAGGACTGTGAGTGAGCAGCTGTGTGGTGCTTCATTGCAGGCTGGGGTTAAACCACGACAACATCCCTGAGCTGCGCACCCTGAGCTGGTACATGAAGAAATCTGTCTCTTTTCTTCATTTAAAGCACCCCGGAAGCCTGGAGCTGCTGCTTAGCCCTTGTTCAGGGACCTCCTTAACCCCAGAGAGCCTTCCCCAGGGGACTGTGTCCATGCTGGCCTGGCTGACCACTCCTGCTCCCTCCTTGTGCTCCCCACAGGACCCTCAGCTGGCGATGCTGCTCTGCAGGGAGAGTGGGCTGTGATGCCTGAAAGCCAGGTGGGGAAAGCACTTGGCAGATCCCTGTGGATCATTCATCTTTTCCATTTGAACTGCACACCCACACTGGAAGGCTCAACCCAGACCCATTCTCTAACACATTGCCCCATGCCTTTCTCCCTTGAGCCCAGGGAGAACCCAAGCATAGCAGAATGGCATCATGGATGCAATCTCTTCAGCCTGCTCCTGACGTCACGTTTGGAAGAACAACTCAATCTCAAGACCCCAACACTGGGGAAATCCCCTTTTTATTAAAAATTTAGGACATAGGTGGCCAACAGCACGATCATGTCAGAAACACATACAAAGGCCTCTGGGTCAGACAGGCTGGGCTTGTGCCTCTGGAAAGGTGAAGTGACTGCAGACACTCCTGGACAAACAGGATTATCGCAGATCAAATGCCCAAAGCACAGGAGGTTCCCAAGATGAACTGGAAATCACTTGTGAAGAGACATGGTCTGCTTATCACTTTTGAAAGACAAGTGACTGAATCAGCTTCTTCAATGCATCTTTGAGCTCCTGGTTCCTCATGCTGTAGATGAGGGGGTTCAGGACTGGAGGTACCACTGAGGAGAGGAATGCCACTGCCAGGTCCAAAGATGGGGACTCCTCCATGGATGAGGACGGCTTCAGGTAGGCAAATGTGGCAGTGCTGATAAACAGGGAGACCACGGACAGATGAGGGAGGCACATGGAAAAGGCTTTGTGCTGCCTTTTCCAGAGGGGATCCTCAGCACAACCCTGAAGATCTGCACATAGGACACCACAATGAAAACAAAGCACCCTAAAGATACAGAAAAAGCAAACACAAGAAGCCCAACTTTCCTGAGATAGGATTCTGAGCAGGAGAGCTTGAAGATCTGAGGGATTTCACAGAAGAACTGGGACAAAGCATTGCCTTTGCAGAGTAGTAGTGAAAATGTGTTGGCAGTGTGCAGCACAGCATTGAGAACCCCAGTGCCCCAGGCGGCTGCTGCCATGTGGACACAAGCTCTGCTGCCCAGCAGGGTCCCATAGTGCAGGGGTTTGCAGATGGCAAGGTAGCGGTCATAGGCCATGACAGTGAGAAGGCAATACTCCCCTACAATCAAGAAGAGAAAAGAAAAGACCTGTATAACACATCCTGTGTAGGAAATGGTTCTGGTGTCTGAAATGGAGTTGGCCATGGCTTTGGGGAGAGTTGTGGAGATGGAGCCCAGATCGAGGAGGGAGAGGTTGAGGAGGAAGAAGTACATGGGGGTG